CAATTTCCTACTATTGTAACATAAAATATGTATGTACATAAAAAATCTTAAAATCATAGCAAATGCCACATCACACATTACAAAATTACCGTGTAGTGGCGGTGTAAAAATATCCACTACCCCATATCATCCCGCGGGTGTCGTAAGAGACGACAAAGGGAAACAAATCAGATGGGCAGCTTCTTCCTAACGTCAAAAATAAAAAAACTGTGGTTGCCAACTCGCTTGCCAAGCGTGGTAACTATGACAAATACCCCGCCTACGAAGCAATCAATGGGGTTAAGAGGCAGTAACAGTAACGGTAAATGCCACATCAAAATCCATCACGTAGTTTTAAAGTTTATATGCATACACAGGCAGACAAAGATTTCTAATAAGCTATTTAGCGATTATGTTTTCCTGAATCGATTAAATAAAAAGCATATCATAATATACTCGTATATTTATAATAATAGTAGCATCTTCTTTAAAACGACTCAAAACACTGATTAAAAATACTTATAAAAACTGCGGTTGATTTGTGTCAACTCGGGTTGACACCACACAACCACCGAGGCACCTTTGGCAGTTGGCACCACGTGCCATGTGTGGTAACTATTGCAAATCCTCCATTCAAGGCGATCTATGAGCATGGCCAAAGAGATTTAATTATATATATTACATATAATACTACTACTTAAATGTCTTTGCTACCTAAATGTCTTTGAGGCCGCCTATGTTTAACAGTACATATAATATTAATTAAATAAGCGATTAGCCATCGCAGAGTATAATTATTCTTCTGATGATGTCCCGTTTAGAAGCGAAACTCGTGTCGTATTATCGACGGTGGTGTGTTTTATATGTACCTAGTGTGGTTTTGTGAAAAATGAAGTTGGGTTAGTGGTGCTAGTAACAGTATACGAAATTGCAGGAGGAATGGAGGTTGTGATGTAGCTGTCGCCCTGTCATTCATAATTATACCTACCCACGTCAGTTCTTTATGCGTGATGATGATGAAGATAATGATGATGTCCTCCTGGTTGATTTTCGACATTCAGAGATATTCTCGACTAAGGAGATAATATAGCGTAATTACGTGCAAATCCAGAGACCCGCGTCAGAATCTTACTATAGGTGTGCATGACGGAACGCTTCTGTTAAGTATCAAATAAGTATAAATAAGTATAAAATCATAGTGTTGAATTCCTATAAATCTATATTCATGGTTGGACCAAAATACTGTAATTCAATTCTCACAGAATACCAACATAAAATAGCAGCTTAATACTGCTGTGTTTCGTATGGTGAGTGTAGAGATTCGGAGATATTTTTTACTGGAAACGAGGCATTTCATCTTAGTCCTCAGGGGTGACAATGAATCTACGTTTTGATTCTTAATCAAGGATAAATGTAGATGTCTATGGACCACAGCATCCACCTACCATCTGGTGGCCTGTGTGCTCATTTGTCACACTTATTCTATAAAAAAATTCTACTAAACACATCTAATAACCAAACTTGCCTATATACTATTACTAAGTAGTCCAATTTTACGCCATTGTTTAGCTACTAACTACATAAATTGTAACAATTTGTGTTTCATGCATCAAGAAAAATGCTATGTAAACGCCGTAATTATAATTTACATGACCGCAAATAAGCTAAATAAAACTTCGTATAGGGTAATTGAATTGTATGAAGTACTTCTGTCATAACTAGTAAATTTACCGAGAGAAAATAAACAGGGTTATTTTTCAAAGATTGGCCAATTTTTAAACTTAAGTTCTAATATGTAAATAAGGATATACCATTAATGCAGTTTCTGAAAATATGAGTAAATAAGGCTTCTACTTTTATTTCAAATTATCCCATGTGATTTATGGGCAACAACGTTTTTGCCTACCGATCGATCCTTACTAATGAGTGCGTGTGCAGTAAAATCAGTTAAAATATTGAATTATCATGCAAAATAACCCTGTATATGATGAGTACGGCACACATTTCCCACAAAAATGTTAAAGCTACGGGTGCTCGTAACCATAATTAAGACTAACCTTTAAAATAAAATCTATAAATTATTACCGAGAAAATTGCTTAATAACAAAAGTTAATGGAGATATAACAGCACAACATTTTAAAACATTTGTTTTAATCGATAGGTGATTTATTGAAAATATATATATATAATAAAAAATTCATTCACACATATTATTATTTACTCATGAATCGAATTATTTCAAGTACAATTTCAAAAACGACGATAAGAAAAAAAAGGTATTGTGGCCCTAATACCACCCTATAATAGTATTTTGTCCTTTTCGTTTATTATAGGTATTTTTACACCGACTGTAAGTAAGTTTGAGAGGCATAGTTCTAATTAAATTTGTAAATAAAACTTCTACTTTGAATCATGCGTATCATGAGCATGAAATATAAGCCATATATTGAGCCAGGTAAAGTAAAGTAAAGTAAAGTTACAGCCTATATACGTCCCACTGCTGGGCTCAGGCCTCCCCTCATTTCTGAGAGGGTTTAGGGCAAGGAAGTGTCCGCCGCGCTGCCCAAATGCGTGTTGATGAACTTCACATGTCTTCGAAATATTTTTTTTCTTATTCCTCAGACATGCAGGTTTCCTCACGATGTTTTCCTTCACCGCCGAGCACGTGGTAAATCAGCACTTAAAATTGCCATTAACAATTTCATTGGTACCGGCGGGGATCGAACCCGGGTTACTCGCATTCTGTTATATTTACAGCGAGCGTTAACCATCTGAGCTACCACGGCTCTATTGAGCCAGGTAACAAAAACTATTTTATTTAAATGTTTTACTATGTAGTTACCTTACTGTACTTGGTTTTAAGACGTCCCATTTTCTTTTAATACTAAACACACCTCGTTACCAGGAAAAAGGTCTCCGGGTCACTATATTTACACCACCATACGAAACACGGCAGTATTTAGCTGCTGTTATACGCTGGTCTTTTCTGAGAGCTTGTGTCGGAGTGACTCATTCGTACTACAACCGTAATATAACTGCAGCATGGCTATACCGCGTAAAAATTTAAAATGTATATACTAAGGTATAATGATTATAATTGCTTGTTTTTTTTTTCTTTCGCATAACGCACTGCTATGCTTAAAGTCACAAAGCCTAAAGATGAGAATAAAATAAAATAAATCTCATTTTATCGGGTTTTAACTTGTCAAAAACTTAGAAAAATGAGCGTCAACCCTATTGTATGTTTTAAAGATCATAATGCCATGCATAAATGTGCCGAACTTTCTAATTTATTTATTAAATTAAATCTATACCCATAAATAAAATTAAAGTGTCTGTTTTTAGTGTCTGTATATCGAAATATCTGCCTTTTATAAAGTGCTGAGGGCTTATTTTCATATCAATGTGACATGAATAAATAACCATTTTATTTTTTTATATGTCTGTCTGTCTGCCTCACTGTTTGTGTGGGCTAACTTTGAAATGACTGAACCAATTGTAAAGAAACTTCTCGAACAGATAAAGAGCATTGCCATGACCAGGAGTGACTAGTCTATATTATTTTATTTATAAATTTATATAAGAAATTATCCAAGATTATGTTTAATTATTATTTAGAATTTAGCTTAAATCTAAATAACACCACTTTAATAGATCCCACCCCGGCAAAGCCGGAGAATGTCGCTTTATAGTTACCTACATATGAAAGGAAAAATTGAACTATTTTAATCATACACCTGTAATTTTTAGTTTGTTTAATCATAATCATTAAACAACAATGTATGTTGTTTAATCCTATGAATAACAGTTATCTCATTACCTAAGACCAACAAAGAAACAGTCGGAGCGCTGCGTATATTTCTTTTTTTATTTGTTTATTCATTTGCCACTACGTTACATTACGACAAAATTATATAAGATTTCGTTAGATAATTAAAATTACAAATTAAAACACATCTCATTTAGTTTGATAATTAAAATTACAAATTAAAACACATCTCATTTACATATCATTATTTTATGTCATTAGATACCATCATATCAAATGACATACCTACCTAAAAACTAAGCCAAACTCAACTTTACCAACAAGTTTTACGGGCTGATAGAATGGAATAAAATAATTTGTTATTCAATATTGATTACATGAAATTCTTATATAAAGTCATTTTTTACTTTACCACTGGTTCGAAAAAAACCTCTGTCCTGAGAATAACCAGCAAGAAACCCAGCGGGACTTTTTTTTAAATAAATTTTACAATGTGAATGGTCACAAAATATTTACAAAATTTATTTTAGAAACAATTTGAAAGCGACCAACTCATTTCCAGGGGTTTATCAACCATGTATTCATTTATATTTATAATGTCAAAATCAAGAAGTTGAATATGGTTTCAGCATCACTTGAAAAATATGCACTGTTCCGTCTATTTTCTTTGTTGATCTGAGCTAATGACAGAACAATCAGTTTTAGTCTAGCACCAAACCACAAGTTTAACAATAAAACTTTAAACAGTAAAGGTTCTATTCTCACACTTATCTCAAGACAATAAGGATCATTATTACTTGCTTAATCTTTATATATAAAAAATTACGTGTCACGTTGTTTGTCCGCGATGAACTCTCTAAACTACTGAACTGATTTCAATGAAAGTTTGCACACTGTGTGCAGTATTACCAACTTGAGAGAGAGGTTGATTTTAACCCGATAAGAAACCCTTAATTTTTTATTGCCAATTTAAGGATATTTTACAGGAAAGTCGTCGAAAAGGGTAGAACAACGTCTGCCTGGCAAGCTAGTATTATAGTAAATAATCATTATCTGTAAATTTTTTCGCACAGGAAATATGCATTTGAATATTCTTTAGTTAGATATAAGTTACCTTTAATTTGATTTTATTGTGAATTAATTGAGAATATCTCTCACTTAATTCTAACTTGGCAAGATAGATAAAATTGCAAGCTCGAGGTTAACATACGCAGCAATGTCACACTTTCACTTATAGCATATTTATCTTACCGTTTTCATTTTTACGCAGCTGCAATTCCATAATGTTATAACTATTTTAAGATTACCACACTTTTCAGTTATTACAAACATTTATTTGCTAACATTTAAGAAATGCAAGACAGTGTCAGCAAATGCGACTCACAACGACGATCTACTAAAACAGACTGTGAATGTGAAGTGTAAAGTGTAAACGTGATGTGAGGGCAGCGCACGCGGCGCGCGTCCTAACTTCATGCAACATTTGTTACGTTTGCGTTTACGTATTGTTACCACTGATTAAGCCTGACTAAGTATTATTGAGGCTGGCTGTTTCATGTACAAAAGCAGTGAGACTCTTTATTTGATATGTAGACTTTGGACAATGATTTCGAGACCGTACATCTTGATAACCAAGCCGCAGTTACTGTGGCGTACGGCCGATTTGGAGGCGGTGAGACAAAAACAAGTTGCTTGTATTTGGGTCAAATTGTTAGAGATGCAGACTTCCTTAAGATGTTTTCTTTCACCGCTGAATACCTACATGGTAAATCAGCACTTAAAAATGCTTGATTACTGCGAATTGATTAACAATCTGGCATCGATCCCAAGTTGATGCAATCATGCATGTTACCTTCTGATGCCGTATGTATATACTGCTGAAGGCTAAGGCTTGTCCCAGCACCAACGACATTGGGTGTGTAAGAAGAACTCTTTACCGCTCTCCACACCTCACGCAGCTAAAGATCACGCGCATTTTCTCGCTACAAGGTTACCATAAGGCACGCTAGTAAAGTAACAGAGATGTGATGTGTTCGGAGTAACAAAATTATCACCAATCACCAGTGTACTTATTTAGATGTTAAGGTTTATACTTGGTATAGCCATGCTTCAGCTATATTATGGTTGTAGCAAGATTGGGTCGACTCGACCGGGGAATGACCACGCTCTCACAGATTACCAGCGTGAAATAGTTGCTGTTTCGTATGTTGAGTGCAGAGAACCTGAGATAAATTTTACTGGAAACGAAATATTCTATCTTCGTTCTCAAGGGTGACAACGCATCTGCATTTTGATTCTTAATCGAGGATAGATGTAGATGTTTATGACCACAGCACCCACTTACTATCTGTGGTGGACTGTGAGCTCGTTTGTGACCCTTATTCTATAAAAAAATCCAATGCTTAAGTACCTACCTTTACTGTAGTAAAAGTTGTAATTCGATTTACATTGCACCTGAGTATGTTGTATTTATTGCATTTTGATTATTTGTTTTGTAAAACAATACTTGAGGAGCTAATACTCAAACTGTGATTTGACACTACAAGTTTTTTTATTTAAGGGCTAATCGTATTCTCTATGGTTACTTATAACTGAAAAATGTCATTTATCCGAGCAAAAATAAATTTTTCATTTTAGAAAAAATTAAAAACTATAGATTGTTTGAGCAAAAAAGGTTTTGTCCTTTGATAGTTGCCTGGAAGAAGAAATTGCAATTCATATTTAACTATCCATACTAATATTATAAATGCGAAAGTGTGTTTGTTTGTCCTTCTTTCACGTCGCAACAGAGCGTCGGCATGACATGATTTTTTGTATGGGGATAGTTCGGTGGCTGTAGAGTGACATAGGTTACTTTTTTCAGCGGAAAAACATATCATTCCCGTGGGAATATCAAATATGTTTCAAAATTAAATTCAGCTAGGTGGCGCCACCGTGATTCTACAAGATGGAAGACGGTACGATGGACGAACACAGAAGGTACTCGTAAGAATATCTGGATTATTATGTCTTTTTACCAAAATTAAGATAAAAAATGTATGGATCTGTATTTTTCCACGCAAGACCGGGAAAAGAGCGATAAAAAAGCGATAAAATTCACCAGCTGATTTTCTTCAAACGTTTTGGTGCATTGTAATTCACAGAATAGGCGATAACCTCGCAGACGATATTAAGTAATCCGTAGATGCTCTGCCTACCCCGCAAGGGTTACAGACGTGATTATAAGTATGGATCAGAAATACTATCACCACCTGTCACGCTTTCACCCTTAACTATTACTTAACTATGGTAGAAACAGTTCTTAGTAAGCCTTATTAATTAGCCTTAGTAATATTTATTGAACAGAAATGAATACAGTTCTTATATGTGGTTATGAATGAATCGGTATTACAATAAGAAAAATTGTGCAAAATTATAAGAAAAATATTTTTGAGAGTTCTTATTAACTAACGTATACATAGTTTAAATTGATTCCGCTAGATGTCGTTACTAGGTTTTTAAAACGCGGTAACGAAATGTTTCCTGACATGTACTTAACTCCCGCCGTTGAGCCGCGGGTCAACTTATAGTGCATACGATACCTATACGCTTAAATTGTTTCTATTTCGAAGCTTATTCTACTACCTGCTTTCCATTTCGGTTGTTTATTATATGCTTTGTGATTTGGTTAACGTTGAATGGATTTATATTGGCTCTTATTTTCAGATTTGTGTATTTTCTTGGATCGGTATTGTTGATTTGGTTGGTATTCCTTTATACATATTTAGAGTCTGACTTTGATTTTGGATTTTGTTTATTTAGAATCGTTAATTGGTTTTCGTTGTTTTAGGTTGTTTAACAGTATTTCAAAGGAATATTAATAGTATAGATAGTGTATACGGTACCTATACACTTACTTCTTTTTTCGTTGGTTATATTTATATTGACTACTGCTTTCGATTTCGGTTTTCTGCGATTTGTTTTGTGATTTGGTTTAAGTTGATTCGATTTTTTTTTTGGCTATCGTTTCCGGATTCATGTTGTGTCTTGAATTGGTTTTGATTTAAAAAAAATATTTAAAAGGAATATTTATTCCTTTTAGATATTTTGGATTTGCTTTTAAAAAAAATATTTAAAAGGAAATTTAATTCTTTTTAGGTATTTTAACGTTTTTTTTATAAATAGGTTTTTTGTTACTTCATAATACTTCACAAACGTAAGTCCAGTCTTTCAAGAGTATCTTCTCAAAGACAAGCGAAAAGATTAGCTCAATCGCTAGAATCTTTAGAAGATGCTGAACTGAGAAGGCAAGAACAAGCAGGGCGTCAGGCTGCTTTTAGAGCATCTGAGACACCTTCTCAACGTCAGCAAAGGCGTCTTGAACAGACAGAGCGTCAGGCTGCTTTAAGAGCTTCCGAAACACCTTCTCAAAGTCAGAAAAGGCGTCTAGAACAGGCAGAGCGTCAAGCTACTTTAAGAGCCTCTGAAACACCTTCTCAAAGTCAGCGAAGGCGTCTTGAACAGGCAGAGCGTCAAGCTACTTTAAGAGCTACTGAAACACCCGCTCAAAGTAAGAAAAGGCGTCTTGAACAGGCAGAGCGTCAAGCTACTTTAAGAGCTACTGAAACACCTGATCAAAGTCAGCAAAGGCGTCTTGAACAGGCAGAGCGTCAATCTACTTTAAGAGCTACTGAAACACCTGCTCAAAGTCAGCAAAAGCTATTCGAACAAGCGGAACGTCAGGCCGCCTTAAGAGCCGCGGAAACACCTGATGAAACTCAACACAGACTCATTGAGCAAGCTGAACGTCAATCTACTATAAGGGCATCTGAAACACCAGAACAGACACAGGCGCGAAGAGATGCAAATGCACAGCTCCAAGCTGAACGTCGACAAAATTTTCAAACAAACAATTGGTCGGTTTTTAATGATGCAGCATTCAATTATGATCCGTTGATTGATTATAAAAATCACAGGTTAGTTGTTATCGGACTGATGGACAAGGGGTGTCGATTTTGCAGCGCTTTAAAATGGAAAGATGAGACCACAGGCATGTCCTGTTCCAATGGCAAATTGTCTCTTCCGTTACTTGGGGAACCAGAAGAACCTTTGAAAACTCTCTTTTTATATGATGCTAATGAGTCACGGCGCTTTTTAAACAGGATCCGGAAATATAACTCATGCTTTCAAATGACGTCCTTCGGAGTTGACCGGGAAATAATAATGCCGGGATTTTCGCCCTACATTTACGGTGCAAGGGCAAATTTATCATAGAATAGGTTCACTTTTTCCAGCTGAAAACAAACAGTATAAATTTTTACAAGTATTTTTTATGGGTGACGAAGAAATTGAGGTAGACCGTTGCTGCCAATTTATCCAGGGATTTGAGAGAGACACAGTTTTCAAAATTCAAAGATTCTTGCATGAACGTAACATTTTAGTCAAAACATTTAAAACTGCTTTAGAAAACCTACCTGAAGAGGATTATAAAGTTGTCATTCACGCAGATCGGACCCCTCGAGGAGAGCATGAAAGGCGCTACAATGCACCTTTGATAAACGAAATAGCAGCCGTAATTAGTGGTGATCAATTTTCTTCACGGGACATTGTCTTGCGAGCACGTGATCGTTGCAACGGGTAGCCGATACACACAAGTTTTATGACGCTCTGCAATACCCATTGATTTATTGCAAAGGACAAGAGGTTTATCATTTTCAAATTCCACTCATTAACCCGGTCACAAAGGTAAAAAAAAGTAGCATGTATGGATTTTTATGCGTATCATTTGATGTTGCGAGAAAATGGTTTTAACCCCTTTGCCCGGTGTAGACAATTATTTCATCAATTTTTGGTAGACATGTATGTGAAGGTAGAAAGTGAACGTCGCCGTTATACATCTTTAAATCAAAAAAAAAACTGCGCGTTGAGAATTATATACATTTACAAGATACAGTTTCTAGCAACGCCGATGTAAACCCCATAGATTTAGGTAAAATGGTAATTCTGCCCTCATCATTCGTAAACAGTCCCCGCTACCTACTTGAGTACACACAAGATGCATTCGCCTATGTACGAACTTACGGAAGACCTGATCTTTTTGTTACGCGTACTTTTACTTGCAATCCCACTTGGAAAGAAATAACCGAGGAGCTAATGCCGGGCCAAAAAAGTACTGACAGACACGATTTAGTTGCTACAGTATTTAGATTAAAAGTACAAAAATTAATGTATGTAATTAACAAAGGGAAAATTTTCAGAGAGGTGCAGTGCTTCATGTATTCAATTGAATGGCAAAAAAAGAAG